GGCTTTTCCCCCTACACAGAGGTAAAGCATCACTGTTCTTATGGTAATTTCAAAGATGGTAATTATGTTATTGGTTATTTTAAAAGCTTCCACTGATGTTCTTTTTTAGATGGCAACATTAGGCTCACCTCCATCACCGCCACCACCAGGTCCCACTGCATCGCCGCCACCAGTCCCTGTAGAGCAGAAGAAACCTGGGCCGAAACCTTGGGCAACACCTGAGCAGTGGACATTTCTAGAGGGGGGAGTGCCTGAATATCGTACCGCCCAGTCAGCCAAAGGGAAGAATGCGGCAATTGCTAGTTTCATAAAAGACTTTATGCCCAGATTTTGGCTTGAGTTTCCGCTGGAGGGTGCCAGATCTAAGGATGGTGATATCAAGGTTAGTCGAATTACCTTGCTTACTGTGACTGGCTTGATGGACTTGGAGCTAGCGCATGAGAGAATGGTTTCAAAACCACAGGTCTGCCAAAAAGGTCGAGAACGCTGCTCGCATTGCTGGCATCTTTGTGAAGCCCAGGACTCGCGTGTTAAAGGTGGAAGAGGTGTATTCATGCAATTACTATGTTGATCGCATCAAACCGCTGGTGGATCAGAGGAAAGTTGGTATTAGCAGTCGAGGCGAGGTACTTAAATTGATTAAAGATACGACCAAAGAGGTGTTTGAGGTGGAGAGTGAGGTGGTTCGGAACCAGGTGTTGGAATGGACAAAGGAGCAGGTTCCGTTGTCAGTCGTGGAGGATGGTCCCATCACTCCGGAAATGTTTGCTGCATATGTTTGACGTCCTACCGCCCACATATTTTGTCTAAATAAGAATTATAGTGCGATTGCTGCAGTTCCCGATTGTTAGCCACTAACTCTAATCGACTTAGATCGTACTAAGGTCGCTACTCGCACTTCGGTAGACGACGCTCAGCAAGTCAAAGGCGACGCGAGTCGATGGGACAGATAGTCACGAAGAACAGAGTTCAAGTTAGGTAGAATAAACCTTAGCCGAAGCTGGGGTTTAGACCAGCGAAGGCTCTTCTTAAATACACGTTGAGTAGACTAAAAATAGTACTGTGAGAATGTCCGACCAGGGCCGCAGCATAATGTAAGCAGGAATGCGTAAGAAAAGAAATAGAAAAGGAAAAGAAATGAATAAACCGTAACATTACCCCCCCTTTAAGATTCGTTCGTCCCGAATGAATCCTGAGTTTCCCCACTCTGTGCGGACTGGCTGTAGAAGGACCAGGTATCGTCATCATCGTTGTCATCATCTTCGGAGTCGAAATCCCAGTTCTCGTGTACCCTTTGTAAGTTTTCGAGGTCTAGGTTGGAATCCTCATCGTTTTGTGTTTCTTCTACGATGGGTATTCCCTCTGCTTCCTCCATGGTCACTTCTCGCACCGCTATTGATGATTGTGCATGGGAGTGTCTTGGGTTTGTGCATTCGGAGGAGTAAACCGTTTCGATATCCGTAACGCATGGGGTATTCGGGTCGTGATACGCCGTTCCAGCGTTTGGTGGTATTTTATCATCTCTCCCCACCGTCCGCCCATACTTGTTGACCTCCCATTGAATCCTCTGGAGGTGTGCTTCGTACTCGTTTACTAGCTCCTCCGCGTTGGCCATGTCCGAACGTTTGACCCAGGAGTTCTCCTCCCACGGGTATCCCTTCCATTTTACGAGGTACTCCGTTATGGCACGGCGCGTTTGTCCGCGGCCTATAACCTTGTCCCGCTTGCTCCACTATTTCCTCGATTTCGTATTCTTCCTCATCGTCAATTAATTCTGGAGGCGGCCTCTCGGGACTGCGGTTGATTTGGGAAGGTTGGAGCGATGTAGGGTGTTAAGAGCGACTCGTTGAAGCGGTTGTGGATCTTCCATTTTATCGGCAGCTTCAACTCATAAGCGGAGGCCCCCTTTTTGGCCGTAATGGCGAAGGGGCCAACACGACGGTCCCCAAGCTTCTTGGTCGGCCGAGGGAGATGAAGGTTGGTCGAGTCGAGCCATACCTTGTCTCCTACTTGGTATTCTACTGCGACGTTCTTTCGTTTGTCGTAGGCCTTTTTCATGGACTCTGCCGCCTTTTCTAATGATTTCTTGGCCTCGCCTTGTGCTTTCTCTATCTCCTCCACCTAGTTTCCCCGCTGCTGGAACAGGTCGTTGCTCGTTGAGGGTTCTTGATCACCTCTCTGTCCCTTCCAAAGATAACCCGATAGGGGGAGTATCCCGTCGCTGAGTGTTGACGATTATTGTGAGTGAAGGCTGCTAATGGCAAGCCATTCGCTCCAATTCATCTTGCCTGTCGTTGAACGAACATCTTGAGGTACTTTTCGATCTCCTGATTAACCCTCTCCGGTTTGGCCATCCTGTCTGCGGGTGGTATGCCGTGGAAGGATTCCCCTCGACAGTGGAGCAGTCGGTAGAATTCCTTCATGAATTTAGATACGAAGACCGAGCCTCGGTCGGAGATTACTTTCTCGGGCATTACGCCGTAGGGTACATAGACGTAGTCCCTCAGGATCTTTGCAAATCCGAGGGAAGTAAGTTCTTCGGTGCAAGCAATAGGGATGATAGCCTTAGAGAAGCGGTCGACGATGACGAGAATGGAGTCATATCCTTTGGAGTCCGGGAGTTTGGTGATCATGTCGACCGAAATATGGGTCCACGGGCGTACAGGTATTTCATTGGGATGCAGGGGGGCCCGTTTCGGGCGACGATCCGCCTTGGTTCGCTGACAGACATCACATCCTTTCACATAGGCTTCTATGTCTCGACGCATTCGGGGCCACCAGTAGTCGCGGAGTACCAATTCCTTTGGTCTTTTCGATGCCTGGATGGCCAGCGGTGACGTGATCATGCTTGAGGGCAATGATCTGTCCTCGGAGTTCACGGTTCACGGGAACGTAGATCCGTCCGTCATACCACAACATCCCCTGTTCTCGGGATATCCCCCTTTTCGTGGTTGAGGGAGTCTGAAATCCCTCGGTCCCAATGTCGAGCATCATGAGTGACGATTTTGATTTTCTCGTGAAGTTCCTCTGCGGTGGGCATTATCAGCGCCCTGAAATGTTCAGCTTTGAGGACTACCACGTCTCGGTTATCCTCCTTTCCTTGGTCGTGATCCGCCCTTCGGGATAAAAGGTCGGCCTTGCGGTTTTGAGCCCCCGGCTTATGGTGTAGACTGAACTGGTACTCCGCCAACTCAGTAACCCAACGAGCTTGTCGTCGGTTGAGTTTCTGCGGTTTACGGAAATACTGGAGGTTGGAATGATCGGTCCAGATTTCGAAGTCTTCTCTTGCCCCCATGAGGTACTGGCGCCATTCTTCGAGAGCGATCATTATAGCCAACAACTCCTTGTCGTAAATCTCATAATTGCGCTCGGTGACTGAGAGGGCCTTGGAGAGAAAGGCAACCGGTCTCCATTTCTCGTCCTGCCATTGAGAAAGTACTGCTCCTATCGCTCCCTTCGCTCGAGTCTGCCTCCACCCGGAATTTTCCTTCATCCAGGGGAATGGCTAGGACAACGTCCTCGCGGAACAGCTCTTTGAGCCTTTCGAACGCTTTCTGCTGGGCTTCTCCCCACTGCCATTCTTGCTTCCCCGTCAAGGAGGTTAAGGGCCTCACGTGCTTGCTGTAATCACGGATGAAGCGTCGGTAAAAATTGCAAAATCCCAGGAAGGATTGTAGTTCCTGTTTCCTCCGAGGAACCGGCCAGTCGAGCAGTCCCGCGATCTTGACCGGGTCCATACGGATCTTCCCCTCGCTGATGATCACTCCTAAATATTCGGTTTCCTCCACCTCGAACTCGCATTTCTCCGCTTTAAGGAACAACTTGTTCTCGCGGAGAATCTGCAGTACCCTGCGCACGATTCCGTCGATGTTCCGCCTTGGTTTTTGAAGCGATAAGGATGTCGTCCAAATAAACTGATACTTCTCCGGCCGCGATGAGATCCTTGAAGATGTCATTCATCATCCATTGGAACGTGGCGGGAGAGTTGGTTAGTCCGAAGAACATCACCAGGGGCTCATAGAGTCCGCGGTTGGTTCGGAAAGCGGCCTTCCACTCATCCCCCTGTTTAATCCTCACGTTGTTATAACCCCAGCGCACGTCCAACTTGGTGAAGTACTTGGCCTTCTTCAGCCGGTCCATCAACTCTCCGATAAGTGGTAACGGATACCGATTCTTGATGGTCATCTCGTTTAACTTTCGATAGTCTTGGACGGGGCGTAGCTTGCCATCCTTTTTCTTGACAAAAAAGAACGGCGAAGCCATGGGAGACTTCGAGGGTTGAATTCGGCCTGTGGACAGGTTTTCGTCCAAGAACCTGTCTAGCTCTTCCTGCTCAGCATGGTTGAGAGGGTAGACTTTGCAGTCTAAGTTGGCGTTGGCGTTGGGAATCAGCTCAATGGCGTGATCCCAGGGTTTACGGGGTGGTAGCTCGTCGAAATTCTCTTTGTCGAAAATGTCCTTGAATTCTTGGTACTCTTCCGGGACTATTTCTTCAAACGACTTGGTGGCTTTCTTGGCATTGGCTCGGGCCGCTAGTTCATTAGCCCGGGTTCCCATAGCTCGCACGTGGAAGGCTTCTTCGAAGTCGATGACGAGAATGGTATCTCCTTCCTCGTACTCGTCCCATCGTGCCGAGGGATCGGTGTCGGGAAGGGAAAATGGGATCTTCCTGCACGTGCATCGAGCTAGGGTCACCGCTCCGGTGTCCCAGTCGATCAGGGGGTTATGACGTTGCAACCAGTCATGCCCTAGGAACAGGGGAGTGGAGCCTAGGTCGACTACGGCTAGTTCGATCCGCTCCACGTGGTCCCCTATGCGCAGCCGTACTTCGGCATACTCGGTGATATCTCCACCCTTATTGCGGGTGCCGTCGGCATTGTAAACCGGGACGGGTCGGGCCGCTTTCTTCAAGTTAAGGTCATGGGCTTGGGCCCAGGCCCGGTCAATTGAGCTCCCGGTGGCCCCGCTGTCGACCAGGGCGCTCACGGCGTGGGTTTCCCTCGTGTCCAGAGTCTCTAATTGCACCTTTATTGAGACATTGCGCCCCTTTCTCCCTCGTATGTACATGGGTGGCTTCTGCAAGTCCTCCATCCACTGCCACTTCTCCCTAGCTTGAGCGGCCGTCTCGGTCTGTTCCTCCAGTTGATGACATAGTTGATCGGTTACCTCCTCGCGTCGTCGCGGGTGCACCCATCCGTTGAGAACGGCGCGCGCCGCCGCATCCCCTCGAGCAATTCGTAGGGCCCGACGGGTCCACAGGATCCCATGCGGCTCGTAATACATTTCCGCGAACACTTTCTTATCGTTGGCGTTCGCGGTGAGGGACACGGCGGGAGACGTCGGCCTTCGGGGAGTTACTACCGGTATATCGGACCGTAGATGGGCTTCTTCGTCTTCTACTTCCTCCAACAGAACTCTTGGGTTCTTCCCTCGAAGTGGCATTTGGTCACCTGGACGAGAAAGGTCCAGAGGCGGCACTTGGGCGCCTTTGGTAGTCGAGGTGGTGGAGGAGGGCTCGCTGCCCTGTGTTCGGCCCTGGCCTCGGGCGCTTGTGCGCGGTGTTGTAACCTCCACGGTCGATCCTTTCTTACTGCTCTTCCTAGACCCGGCGGTACTTCGGGTTGCCCTTCGCGGGGGCACACATATTGGCTCCCCCGAGGGGTCTGCACTGTTTGCCGTCGGGTGTCCCTTGGCTACTAGGGGCAGGTGGTCCCTCGAGTTCCCGGCCTCAGCTGCTTTTCCGACGCTTCCCGCTGGAACAGACGCCTCCACAGACGAAGACGCAGGCCCAGCAGGCTGGGCTGACGACCTTTCTCCCTCTCCGGGCTGACCTCCCTTCGTCAAGGGTGCAGTCGAGACACGACCTAGGGGGCTCTGCCCTCGAGGGGCTTTCCCTGTGCGGTCGGCCGGGGGTTCCTGAGCTCGGACAGCCCCTAGGGGTTCAGTACTGGGC